GTCTAAACAGATCTAATAACAGCATTATTCACAAACACCTTTAGCACCATCAGCAATAGTTCGCTAACTGAGCAAATAAATTCTACAGAGTTACCAAGTAGACTTGTAAAATAGTTATTTGAGAACATTGAAGCCTAAACATTCGGAGGTTCTACGCTACTACTTCCATGATACATTGAACAGGCTAAGTAAGAGCTGCGTTTAAAAACAATCAATCTCATAACTAAGATCATGAAAGAAAATACTGTAATAAACAGCCAAGGACTGCTAGAGGGGAAACCTGAAATTTAAGCCAAACATTTATTTCCTTTGGTTCTGTAAAATCTTTTTATTAGATTAGTTAGAACTTTTGACAAAGACTAAGCTTTACACATTAGAGAGCTCCGAGTGTGGATACTGCTTAAAAGGATTTCATTCTTTTTAAAGAGAAATGATTTTTTTTCCAGCATCCTTTCACACCCATACAACTTCTTTGTGAAATTTATAACACTGTTTTGTCATACAGAAAATTATATAGTATAATATACTTAAAACATTAATGTTTTAATAGACAAAAAAGTAAAATTAGATATTCTATTTACCCACCATACAAGTAAGAAAAGTAAACAGATGAGCAAGAGCTATATAGTAAGGAAATTAGACTTTTCAAAGAAACTTTCAAACTCTGAGACAGCTGCCAGGGTTAGCTTCAACCCTAGTCTTTGTGCCACAAGGCTATCTTCACTTCAAAAACAGAAATAATAGGCGTCAGGAAAGTTCAGCAGTGCTGTAACTGTAATTAGATTTCTGTGTATTAAGTGATAACATTGAACAGCATGCAACAGCTGAATCCTGGTGTCTCCTGACTGACTTGACTTCAGGATGTATCTAGCAAACACACTGAAGCTGTGTATCTGATACCTGGGCACACTAAGAGCTTTACTACTAAAAAGAATCTCCAGAGAGCAAAGAGTTTGCACATTTGTTCAGTTTCAAACCTGGATGTCCAATGACACCAGATGTGTAAGGTGAATACCGGTTTATGCCATATTATGGTAAGCCTCAAAGGATTTGACTGGAGGCAAAATTTTGGGGAACACATTTCCTTCTAAGAAGCCTATCCTCTATAGGAGAGTTAGGAAAAGCATCCCACAATATGCAGTAGGCTCACAGATTATGTTCAAATACATTTTTGTTCTCGAAGGATGTGCTCTTTATCCTCTCTTCTTGTATGAGAACCTATAAAAGACAATCTCAAAGGAGTCCAGAAGTATCCTGTAGTAAAATTCCAGTTTGAAAACAGAAATTCCATAAAAAAGCAGTACTCTTTTTCCAAAAGTTGTGTGACTACAACAAAAAAAAAAAAAAAAAAAAAGTCTATTTCAGCAAAGTAATTTTCCTACGGAAAAGTGTTCAACTTTTCCATAGGAGATGAACAGACACAGGTCTAGAAAGCAGTTCTCAACCTCCCATTTTTTCACCTCATGCTTCCAGGTTCCCAGTGGAATGGTCATTGATGTAACATTGCCAAGGGTCCCACATGGAAATTGTTGGCCTTCAGTGGATGCTGCTTTCTGTTTTCCAGCATGTATACTGACCAGTAAGTCTTCCTTTTGAGACAAACTTTGCACAGGCTCCCCAGAAAAAGCGACTTAACAGAGAGCACTCTTTATTGTTAAGATGAGCTCATAATTAGCAAATATAATCCAATTTTTTCTCACTAAAACTTGTGAGAATCAGTTCTCCTGAAAGGTCCAGACAAAAAAATTAGGAGAAAATGCAAATAAATTTTTCTATAGGCAGTTCTAGAATTTTAGTGCCAAATCAAAAGCAGAAAATGTGAGAAATATGGAAATGCAGCCATCACAAAGATTTATTTATTTTTTAATTATTAAGACTGGAACCATTCTTTGGCACTAACAAGGGGAAGAGGTGTGAAGAACTAAGCTGTTACAGTTACTGTGTTTTTATGGCTTCCAGAAGTCACTCTGATACCCAGCCTAACTTAAAGTGGATGCAAGCCTGTTCTAATTTTGGCTACAGTTCAAGGAAACATTCAATTCCCTTGTTTGCTGTTTCTTGCAAAAAGCATAACAGTGTTTAAGATTTCCTTTGTAATAACTGTAAACATATACTTAAATCTGTATGTTCTCAAACACATACACTACATGGTACTTCAAAATAGCTGGCATTAACTTTAGAGTGCTAATTATAAAAAAAAGTATAGTCACTAAATGCAGTGAAGTTAAGGGAATATGATACGAGAAAAAAATTATCTACTTTACTAATTTCTCTTTGGTTTTAAGCTTGAGCACTTAACAGTCTATCATAATTTGTGGACTAAGCTTAATAAGGTATGGTACTGAAAACTGAATGTTAAGACATGTTTCCCTCTGTTATTTTATTATCATATTAGTTTTCCATTTACCAACGCAATCAGTTCTATTTTATGATCAATCATGGAAGTATACCATACTGTTTCTTACATTATATACTATTCCCAGTATTTATGCCCTTACAGTAAAACATTGCCTTTTGTTGAAGAACATAAATTGAACAGAAGTGCTCTCACATGTTAAAATACTTTTTAAAACCCAGTATGTATAGCTCAGTAAGTTTTACCAGAGGTGTATAATTTTTCAGCATTATGTCTTAATGCCAGTTTCCCGAAGAAGCTTTGACTACAAAAGGTATGAATATGTTTTCAAAGGATGATGGATAAATTGGTGGGTGGTAATATAATGTATTTTAGGCAGCTGATCAGGGCATTTTATCCTCTGCTTGTCTTCTAGTTATACACAATTTCAAGATAATTATGGTCTCTAAGAATGTCTTTTTCCCTTCTTACTACCAGCAATATTTGTCTTGTTTATAGGCTCAAGAAACTTCCAATCACACCACAGAATTAGAATAGGGCAATTATGTCATCTTAGCAAAGAACTGAATGTATAGATAGACTGACCACACAATATGGACATAAGGCAGTTAATGAACTGCCTTTACATAAAACACCCATTAATTAGAATACTAGTTATGGAATATATTGAATCCATACTTGAATTTTATAAAATAAAACCCAAGCATAAAGTGTATAATTCAGGTTGATATGTACCATTATTTACATTGCCTTTTCAGTAAAAAATACAGTCTCATTAAATAAAATGCAATGTTAGTCAATGGTCAGATATGTTATACTAAAATTCTGATCTGATGGAGACATCCAAATCCCCAAAACTTCATTTTTATGACAGTCGAGGACTTCCTGAAATACCTGAAGGTTCTCTCTTTTAAAAAAGCCAAGTGAAGCAGTTGTAGGGAAAACTCCTCCACTTTTGTGATCTGGAGACCTAACTGTGGCCAACAACAGCCTTTTTCTAAGTGAGGCAATAATGTATTTTAGGTAACACATATTGTCATTTCAAGAAGTGCCTAAGCTTTCCCAGTGTAATTTTTTAGATTGATGCCTAGCATATTACAGGGTTATTTCACTGAAGCAATTTCAGACAGCAATAGAAACCAGAAAAATCAACTCTACTGTGTCTTGTCTGTTAAGCAAAGGAAGTGTTGAATAGTCACAGTAACAGCAGAAAAGCACAGACAAGAATCCTGTTGGATAGACATAAACACACAAATAGAGGAAGAAAACAAAATTGTTTTCTTCAGCTTTCCTGTAGTAATATTGTCCTTCCATTTATAATCCTTTATAGTAACACCACTATGAAGTTACACCAGAGGAATGCAGTATTATTACCTAGTATCTACCCCTGAAAAGTTAGAAGGAAAACTTATTCCAAATTAAGACTTCAGAGCTCAGTAAGTCAGAATGACTACAAGCTCAAACTGGTACAAGAAGGAGAGATGCAGTAACAATGTCTGTTGGTTGGCCTGCAAAAGTATAAGAACCAGAGCTAGGAAAAATCTAACATGCTATGAACGACTGATTCAAAGGTGAAAGAATAAAATGTATGCTAGCTGCTCTATTTTAAGCAGTTTTAGTGCAATGCAATGAAAACATTAATTTGAATGATTTAAATTTTATGAGAAGAACAACTGCAGTAATCATATATTGTACGGTCAATGCCTTAATCATCAGATTTAAAAAAAAATATTATTTAAAAATATAGCATGTTCTATTCTACTTCAAACTAAAATTTTAATCTAGTTGTTCATGCTATATTCTAAACCACAAGAACAAATTATAAATATTTCACCCCTAAATAAACCCTCTTGAGGCTCAAGTTCATTAAAAACATCTTAAGATCTTTCGTAACCACAATCATGCAACTTCATTAAGAACATACTTTTTCCTGAATACTGAAGACAGTATTGAATAGATTAGGCATAAAATATACCATCACAAGGTAAGAAAAAAGTAATAATTTTGTCCAGAAATAGTCTCTGAACACTCTTAAGGAAATAGCCAAACTTCACTTGACGCAGAAGAAATCAGTAAATTATATGTTACTTTTGATATTAGAAAAAAGCAGCATTAGAGAGACACAAAATATTTAATGGCATTTGGTAAGATTATCCTCACACTTCAGCATTTTTTTCATTGCTGATTAGGCTTTTTCCCTTATACAGTTTCCTGATAATAGAAACTATCAGTGTTTGCTTAGAAGCAAGCTTAAGTCTGAAAGGAACCTTTCTGTATAACCTATCCAAAACTGGCCATGTTTCCTATTAGAAAAAAGACAGAATGAAAAGTATGTGTAAAGGAAGTCATAAAGAGGTTAAATTATATTTTTATTTTCTATGGGAAACTGTAAAAAATATCTACACAAATTGTACAGTTTCTACCACAATATACTGGAAGCAACTTAACTACTCTTCCTGATACGCAGGTGGAAACTGTACACTGTGGGGTTTACTCAAACCATTCAACTAATCCAGTCTGTCGGGTTCTTATGAATCACCAAGATTAATTAATTTCTTTCTAAACCATTTATGAACTTTAAAATGTATTTCAAGTCATCAAGAGATTACAACTTTACTTGTAAAAATTTGTGAGTGTTCTTTACCTTTAAGATGTTGTCAGGATGCTCTTTAGCAGAAGCAACAAACAAGTCATGTCCACAGACAACTCCCTCTGCAAGAAAATACTTGAACAACAAATTGGAGTAAAGACCATATTTATCTTCCTCTGTGAAAACAAGAACAGTTGGATTTTATTTCTGGTTATTTTTCTGTTTTTTTTTTTTTTTGTTAGATAAATCGCCCATCTCCATTTTCATAACACTTTTAAAGCCCTCTGTTGGTCTACCTCCTAGAGTATATAATGTACAACTGAGATAACAGGTAAAATATGATTGCAAAACTTTAAAAAATAATGACTGATAATAGTATATTCCTCATTTTTCAATATCATCTCACATATCCAATCAAGTATTGGATTCTAAGACATGGGTGGGTTACAGCAATATCTTCGTAGTAAGTTTTCCCATAACTATCAACTAAGATCAGGCTTAATGGGAATGGAGTTTGTTAATTTAGGAGAACCATGTTAATATTTACATTCTTAATGCTTAAAATATTAATCAACTTGCTTAAAGCAGTTACTAATTAATGCTTTTCAAAATTTAATTGTATTTGGCCTGTTAAAGCTATAGAAAGGTATAATTTCTTATAGAGACATCCTTACACCTGCATTTCAAAACTGAAAACTATAAAAATAGGCAAAACAAATGGATACATTGAAAAACCAGACAATCTGCAACACCATATTTGAAAGGTAAGCAAAGCAAAACCATTAAAACATTCAAACCACACATAAACTTACAGTTTAATAAGCGAGACAGTACTTGTTGACAGACATTGTGGATAAAATACTATTGAAATAAAAATACAAACCCCACTGACTTCAGAAAGGCCAGCATTTCCTTTGTCTTCTTTGTTGCATGTTAAATGTCAGAAATTACCAGACTCTGAAAGTCTTAATGAGCGTCATACAATTAAAATTATCATAACTCAAAACTATGGGGGAAGTGAAAGTGAATGAGTAAATAGCAAACAAAATTTGAATTTTCTTTATACAGAACCAACACGACTCTTAATCCCTTCTTTCTGCGATTTGGAAACAATTTCCTCCCTATCACATTAAAAAATATTAAACTAAAAGCCACAAAAGCAATAATAAAGGCTGAAAATAAGAAAGTTGTTATTCATATCTAAACTTGTAAAAATACTAAAGAAGGAAAACAAAAAAGAATATAACTTTGATATGTACCAGAATAGTATGCTTTGGAGCTTAAGAGTCAAAAGAATCAATAAAGTGGAGTGGGAGGAAAGAATGAAAGGCGATATACATCCAAATAGGAGAAAGAACATTAACAGTAATGGAGAAACTTCAGAAACAAATTACAGAAAAATAGTGTTGTACTGCTACACTCCTAATACCATGCACAAGTAATGGTACTTTCAGTGTTTAGATCAACAAGAGAAAAATTCAAACCACAGATTTTCAAATTCTCTGGGAAAGGAACAATTCTCCAGAGATATCCATCATGGGATATTGGGCGAACTAGTATTTATTTCCTGCCTTTTTAAAATTGTTATTTCACTTTTAAATGTAGTATTTGGGAGTTTTTATTTATTTTTTATTTATTTTTACAGTAAAAAAAGTATACAGTATAAACTGAAAATTTGGAAGATTTGTTTCGTTCATATCTTTCTTCTTCTTCAAAATAATTCCTAAAGATGCGGCATCAAGACTACCTACTTTGCTGGTAAGGAGAAATACTTAAAAGTTTCTCTTTCATTAAACCTAAGAAATGAACTTGAAATCACTCTAAAGCAACATTTCAAGATGGAGAAAAATCCTTTAAAACACAGTCCCTAAGACAGGAAATTACATAAAACTGGATGTCCAAATAAACCAAAGGGAATACAGTAATTACAACACTCTTGCTCCTAATGCTAGCCATTAATATAGCCGGTTTAGTGTAGAGTCTGTGGGTTTTAAGAACTCAGATTGTATTAATATAATTTACCTTTGATACTGTTAACCTGCCTAGCAGGCCATACTAACCTTCTTCTGTGTACTTCCAATAACACACCTTGTAAAAATAATGTTCTAGTGAAAAACAGGTACAGATCAGTACCACGGAAAGTACTGTGCTGGCAAAAGCTTCCTGTCAACAGCGTGGGACCCTTGTTAAGATTTCAGCAAGACTCGTTTCCAAAAGCATCACAGAACTACATACTCCAATTTTCTTGAAAGCTTGGAGCTCTTAACTGAATATTTTATACAGTTTACTCTTCCATGCTTAAAAAGCTATTAACTGTGTTACCGAAGAACTGTTTTCCTGGTAATTGAACACCACACATTGTGACATAACCAAGATGTAGATCCAAGTATGAGACTAGGATGAAGAGAAGACTCAATTCAGATAACACTGAAGGCCTACTGTTGCAGAAGGAAAAAGTAAAACTGGCACTATCTGAAGTTTTGAAGAAGTATTACAGTCTTATTTTGTAAGTATAGTCTTTGGAGCCTGCTAAGATCTTAAACTGCTTCAACAAGAGGAAAACAAAACACATAAGCAGAGTAATCCTCCCTTGTAACTGGAGTCCAGGAACACATACATATGGCTCCTACACCCCTAAGCATTTGCTCTCTCTAGTTACTTATGCTTTGGTTGCTTACTCCAATATAATTGGTAATATAATATTCACAGTATATTGACTTCCATGTGCTAACCTCCATCTATGAAGCTCTGAATTTAAGAACAAATGCTCACCAGAAATCAAAGTAACAGCATGTTATCTACTTATTAATTAATTATTTATTTAAATTGTCTGAGCTACCTGAAAGAAGCCACCAAACCTCCCTTGTAATCATATCACTGAAGCACCTGTCAGTGGAGGGAGAAAATTTTGTTAGACCTCCCTTCCTTTGAACAAAATTGGAAAAGGAACACTAGTGAGGTGCTCTGGAAGAATCCTAAGCTGCCATCCTTGGTGAATAAAAAAGCATCCACCATTTGAGGCACAGAGACACTGAGTTGTATCGCATACGGACAGTGCTTAAATTACATTTAATAAAGTATAAGCCAATATCTCAATTGGTCCAAGTATTTTATTGTTTGAGTGTGCAACTATAGAGAGTCTTTCTGGATCACTGTTTTGATATTAACTATTCATTAGAAAGTGAACAACATACTCAATTTTGTGTCAAATGTAACATGGAAACTCCATAAACCATGGATAAATACAGGAAATCATACTGTGTGTTGACTGTTTAACTGAACTAAAAAGAAATAAGGCTATAGTAATTAAGAATTTTTACTCAAATTTTATTTGAAACGCTGAAATATTAAAACAAACTGTAGAAGTGAACATAGATATATACCCTTTCACTAACCTAACATTATAATTCATTTTCTTGAGTAATAGACTTATTTGTAATATAACAGGACTACAGAGGTTCTTACACTGCCATACCCTTTCAAAGCATGATTTTCAAAACAATAAGGAATTTTCAATTTAGCCAAATAAAAGTATTCACATTCTGTATACGGACATGTCATTTTAGCATTAGGATTTCCTCTGATCTTCTTAGATTGATTTTCAGTAAACTTTAAACAGTAAAATTAAAGTAAAAATAGGAAATGAACTATTGGAGACTGATCTAAATATAAAACACCTTACAGTCTGCTACAGTACTCTAAGGATTAAATGTGTCTCAGAAAGCCTTTACAAACAGTGAATCTAGGATTGTTAAAGTCAATGCATCTGTAAGAATCCCTCAGTTCTTCAATTTGTCAGATAGAGGATGGCCTTTTATTGATTCATTTCTAGGTCACTAAACTTTTGTGGTATTCAAAACATCTAAAGTGCACCCATATGGGGCTTTTCTGATAGCATCCATTGTAGCCTGGCTTCAATAGTTATATTACTATTCAAAACCATAGAAGTACAACTTTCTTCTTATAAATAAACAAACAAATCATTTAGCACAGGTACTTCAGTAGCTTACTGATTACTTTCACGGATAAATTGAATGAAAGACTTTGAAGTGTATTTGTTTTCTGATAACACTTGGACTTACTATTTTAAAGGCTAGGATAAAGTCTCAAACTGTTATTTTTATAATTATACCCTCATCCAAAAGAGCATCCATTTTGTATGTGTAGGAACTAACACTTAAGTACATTTTAGTCAGTCAAATACTTAAGACAAGCCTGGCCCAATCTTTGTTCTTAGTCTCCATGCTGAAGAGCTGTCCTGTCAGCAGCCTTCATTGTGAATTTTATTTCTACCTAATAAGGCACATAAACAAATGAGACTCTAGCAGCTGCAGACTCTTTCCTGGGTCCAGTCACCGCAAGTCACACGCCAGCCCACAGCCTTCTCTGATTCTTTTTGAACAGAGTGTTCTACAGCTAAGTAGCAGGTGAGTAACTAGTGAAGCGTAAAACTATACAAGGAAAAGAGATTATTTACCTAGAAGTTATGCATATTGTTGCCAGGACAAAACCTCTTCTTATCCTATGGATAAGGACATAAATAAAATAGTTTATTGTGATCATTATCCACTGGTCTCTTTCCACAACAGCATCCTTTCATGGATAAAAGAGTCACAAAGAAAAAAGCAGTATTGTCAGTATCAGTGCCATGAATTCCAACATATAACCATGTTGAAAACTATGGATAAAGACCAGTGCCTATCTATGGCTCTTTTCACCTCTACACTGTACAGGCTACTGAACACAAGACACATTCTCAACACTTTTGTGCACAGACTGTCTGTAGCAACTACTCCGACAAATCAGTGGGTCACAGAATTAGAAACAAAATTTTAAGGCAGTGGAGTTTCTCTAGGGCACAGAAAACAAAGTGAGCAGATATGAGTGAGGCACAGTAAATATATAACTTATATAAAAATTAAGGACAAAAATCTCACCTAATTATAGGTGAGATTTTTGCATATGCATATGTAAATGTAAACACATGGCCTTAAGGAAAAATTTTTAGCCATAACTGCTCCTTCTGCACAGAAGTATTCATGCTCCAAGAGAGGGATGGAGAATAACTTGAAAAGGAACAAAAAGTCACAAAGAAAACCCACCATCCAACAAATATGCAAAGACAGTATTTATAATAGCCAACTTTTAAACATCAGTATAATGAACAGTATGAAGATCTTTGAAAGACTACAGAGGCGATTTGTAGCATAATTGCTTAAAATGATGAGAGCTACAAGGGGAAAAAATAAGACTGCAACAATGTAATGTACAGATAGCTGATTTTTTTCTCTGTACAAAGTCTAGACAGGTTGCCCTAAAGCTGCCAAAAGCCTGTCATAGCCTATCAGTATGGATCATTTTTTTACCAGATAGTTCTACAGTGTGGTATTGTGACCTAAGGTGTGTCTTTCTGAAGCTATGAAACATCTCTCTGAATTGCTGCAGGTTATAAGATGTGATTATTTTAATAATCTGAAATTCCATTTAAAAGATACTTTACTAATGTCCACATTTACTAAGCTTGAGGGGATATATTTGTGTCACTTGCATTTAATTAGCACATGCCAAAATGGAGTTGTCAAACGTGTAAGTTACAATATTTGGCATTTGGCCATACTTCAAGAAGGTGAACTCTGGTAACTTGTATTTTGTAGAATTATATTTAGCAAATCACTGTTTTGTACCTCTTCTGAGATTGAGTTTTCAGCCTTAAAAAGATAAATTCGATTATATTGACAAGTGAAGAGAGCTCTTACCGTTCAGGTTAAACTGCATGTCTAACAAAAATAACAGTAGCTAATTAAAGTAGCTGAAACTGCTTCAAGGCTTAGCATGTACAAGTATAGACCGGCTTTTAACCAGACAACTTTAACTTTTAATATTGACCTCAGCTACCAACAAAAAACCTCCTACTGATAATTAAAACATTTAGCCATCAATGACCTTGTCAAAACTAGAGCATCTTAAAGGTATGTAAGGATGGGTTCTTATAAGGTACATAGGACAGACCTATTTGAGTGTGCTGTAACTCACTAAGTAGATTGCATTACATAAACAAGGCTTATATGTAAAAAACAAAACAACATCCTCCTGGAAACACTTCCCAAGGCTGGCAAAACAGACATGCAACAGGTTGAAGTACACTGGAGAGAGGAGGAGGAAAGGAGTGTACTTAATCAACATCTATACTATTTGTTTTGAAAGGGGAGATTCTTCTAGAAAGCTACTTTGAAGCAGTTTATGATAAAATAACAAACAAGTTGCCTCACATTCATACTGAACAAACTGTTTTGTTTTTAAATTTAATTTCACGCAGAGTTAGAATACTTGTTTTACCACTTCTCATAAGCCCAACTTTTTGCAACTAATTTTTGCAACTAAAGTACTGGTTAAAATCCAAAACATTCTTGCTGTATGGCCAAAAGCCAGGAAATTTCAAGTTCCTCTAGTAGTTAGAAACTTGCATGAGACTACCATGTGTTCAACTCTTTAAATCTCATATAAATAAAACACTGTCAAAAGAATATATGATAGAATTAAGTTCAACTGAAAATCATGATGCTTGTTATTATGAAATAAGTTTTAAAAAACTGTGTACTTATATTTCAAACAATAGTTTGCAGTCTTAGCAAGTAACCTGTGCCTTTACTGCATCTTCAGAACACAACACAACAGTTAAAATAAATATTTTAATACCCTGAATCTACTATTATTTGGTTAAATTAACCAAGATAACATGCCAAATAATGAAGATGAGCATTTAATTTGCAAAGGGAGCTAATCCAAAAGTAATGCAATTTATTCTTGCCTTAGAGAATGTTGAAGGAAGGGGGAAGAATTTAACCTTTTTATAACAGTTGGAGTACAATGCAAAAGATCTTCCTAGGAGGTTTATCACTGACAGCTTCAATCCTGTATAATATTAAGCTTGCCCAGACTAATCTCTCGACAGTTTTTTTATATACTGACAGGATATTCTAACAACGTAATTAACAATTCTATCTGCACCAACTTTAAAACTTAGTTTAAAAAATTTTAATGTCTCATGAATAAACATAGTTCTTACTTTAAGACTTTTTGTATATAATATATATATGTTTCAAAATATATTGTCTTATCTGGGGATAAAATAGCTTTCAAAAATAAAACTAACTCCTTCATGTTTCTGTGAAGCTAAGTTTGATATCAGATCACAGATATCCAATACAAGGGATAAGTAAATTAAGCCCCACCACTGAGTATGGCCAGCTATGCAGTCAGAGGAGCGGAAAAGAGAGAAATGAGGTAAATATCCTCCCATTTTCAAATCATTGAGTCTTGTCATCTTTTTCATTAGAACACACAGCTCACTGTCACTGCATGCACTTTGTCTGGTGCCACTAAGGTCAGGTCAAGCAGACACCTAACCTGATGCTCAACAGTAGCCAAAAGCAGATATTTAGGAAGAGGTAGTAAGAACTGAACAAGCAAATGTGATGCTTCACCCAAGTACTTGCTCAGCCTCACACCATTCAGAGGACTCAAGGACTTCCTTAGCTGGACTTGGTATCCACTAACCTAGTAATGTGAATTTCTTTCTCTTCCATCATGCTGCCCAGTTTCCACTGAGACCATGATTTTTTTTTACATTTACATTTTTTTACATTCACAACAGCCTATGGTGAAGTATTCCACTTGCATACCAACTGAAGAACTGTCTTTTGTTTAGTTACAATCTTTCAGCTAGTAGGTTCATTTGGTGTCATCCAGTTCATCTACTGAAAGGGTCAGCGAATACTGTAATGGGAAGAAAAACCAAAACTAATCTCTGATGTGTAAAATATGATAGGTTCTAATTTTATTTCTTCTTCCTTTGTCTATAGCAAGATTACAGCTCTTCTCAAACTGAGTTAGAAAAGAAAGATCTTCATTGAAAGCAGTAAGAGACAAACCTATCATTTTTTCCAAATTCACAGAAATTTGGATGAAATTTCATGAGAAAATTGAGCTTAACTGGCAGCTTCTGCCTTGACAAAGGGCATCTACTTTCTCTCCTAGTCCTCACTGTGCAACCCCTCTTTCCCTTGTGCTGGCTCTGGTACTCATCTCATGTTAGTGAGCTGATTCAGGTCACTAAACAGAAAAGTTTCCACTCTTTAACTGGGTGAGTTTTCTGTCAACTTGGGAGAATTGAGAGTTGAAAAGCACTGGCGTCAGCTTAAGGAACAATAAAATTGCACAGTCATGAATGGGGAGAAGAATTTGAACAACTTCTTTCAGCAACAGTGAACTGCTGTATCTCAAAAAATGTTTCAAAAAAAGTTCTCAAAGAATGTGAACTTGAACAGTAGGCCTTACGCAAACAGTGGCCCACATGGAATTAGCTAATGTCAGTTATTTTTTTCTGGCAGCCAACTATTCAAATGACTTAATCTGCACTGATTTATATACCTTATGTAAAAATCAAGATTTTCTAAGATTCAGCGAGACAGTAACACCTGTCTCTAACCATGGATAAAATGCAGAAATGAAAGTAGCCATCAAAGTACTTTAAAGTAACAAGCCACACAACTACAGGTGTTTCTCTACTATATAACATTTCATTTTTTCCCCTGTACTATCACCTCTTTTGCTAAGAATGTAACAAGCTTGAAAGTTTCTCAAAAGACCCTTAATCTGTTAAACACTTAAAACAGAAAATAAACCCCAACCAAAATCAAATTTATGATTTTATATTAAAATTTATATTATTCAGCCCTTGCACCCTTTTGAAGTAGTTTTGTAGTAGAAGCCCAAGATTAATGAACTGATGTGACAAATCAGGTGGTATCTCGTAAAATTCCTCTTCTGCAATAATGGTCATTGTTATATGCTGAAACTGTAAGTAAGCACTTACAAGACTAACTTGGAAGAAGTTAGTCTTCCTTCACAATTGTAGTTTTCACTGCAATGTTTAAACTGAGGGGCCTGGGAAATATTTTTTGTACAGTCCAGTATATAACGTGGGGATATGAAGACAAGATGTATGTGCACAACAGTCCTTCTCTCCTTTGCTACACTTCAAATAGAAAGGAAATCTGGGCATCTCAGCTGCAATGCAGACATGGTACCAGACAGTTTCAATGTAAACTGCAAAGGGAATTCTGTTGTAAACTTTAAGCATCTCAGCGTGCCTCATCCACATCCTGACAGAAAGCTGGCTTTCAACAGCTTACTCTTATTTGATTTCAGCAACCAAAAGATTAAAAGATTCTGTATTTCACAGCTTCCTCAGAAAGCCAAACTGAAAAACCAACCAACCAACTCTGAGATGATACACAGTCTGAAGCTTACAGGAAATCAGGGACCTTAGAAAATATTAAATAATTTGAAAATTTTCCTGAAATTTGCTAAATGCCCTGCTTTCAAAAAGAATACTGCAGTATTCTCCTTGAGGAGTCAAAACTGCCTGAAAGTGTTTGATCCACTTCAAGTAATTCTTGAAATAGACACTAGTCCACTTTGAAGGCTATCCAAAGTGAAGTGGGCCGAAAGTTACACTTTCCTAAAAGTCAGAGTTTAAAAAACAATGAAAAGATAGGTTAACTAAAATACATTAAAAAGCACAAAACACATCAGAATATGGCTTATCTATATATTCTATACTAACCAATAAGAAGAAGGGTTCCAACAGCTATGCCTCCACCTGGAAACAAAATAAAATGAAGATAAAGTAAGACTACATTTTAATAGCATGTTAGAGAACAATTAAGTTTTCTTAGTTTGTAAGTCAAAGAAAGGTGATAACTGGGAATTTAAAAATATAAAAGTGAACAACATTTTAATTACCTTTGCAATACTTCCTACAATTCTCTATTATGAAATAATTATACGCTACATGTAATTACATATTAGACATTACAATTACTTTCACAATATACTTACTATCATCACTGTGGTTAAAAGATCCAGCAGAGCTCCACGCAACTATGCTCAAGTACTACAGTAATGATGTATGGTCTGAGCCAGCAAATTTTTCCTTGGATGACTCAAGTGAGTAATCATAGAATCAACTGAGTTGGAAAAAGACCCCTCAGATCATCACGTCCAACCATTCCAGCACTGCCAAGTCCACCACTAAACCACTAAGGGCCTTGTTTACACGGCTTTGAACACTTCACGGACAGTGATTCCACCACTGCCCTGGGCATCCTGTTCCAATGCCTGATCACCCTCTGGGGGAAGAAATTTTTCCTAATATCCAGTCCAACCCCTCCGCCCCCGGCCCCGGCACAGCTTGAGGCTGTTACCTCTTGCCCTATCACTTGTTGCTTGAAAGAAGAGACCAGCCACCTCCTACATCAGCTACAGGTTCGGGGTGTAACATGGACTCGCCACTACACTGTTATAGACTCTTATAGTCTATATCCAACGACCCAATGTCCACCATCACTCACCTCCACAGGAAAGGCTCTCCCCTCGAGAAGCTCCCAACCCCAGGGAGAGGCCCCCCTGGCTGCAGGAGCTCTCTCTGAGGAGCAGCAGCTCAGAATGGTTGCCCCAGTGGCTCCTTCACACTCTGGGCCATTCTGACCAGGGACCAACTGTGGTCATGTACTCTATGGGCTCAGGACCCACTTCCCACCCCGGCACCGCCAGTGCCACTGGCACAGGAGCAGCGCACAGCAGAATTTTCCTGTGAACACATCTGGAGGGAAAGATTTGGTGGGATTTGGCTAAGGCTTTGGTTGGGGCTCCAGTTAAATCCATATTATCACTACCAAGTGATATTCTTCTGTACCAAGGACTGTGTATGTAAAGAGACCTAATAACAGGCTAGAAAATTACCAGCCACGTCAATGAGTTAAAATCTTGGCTCCACTGTTTTTTATCTTATTACTGGCATGGCAGTAAGGCAGGTAGGATTTCAACCAGTGGAACCTGGACAGACAGATCATGAACATTTTAACACCCATCTGAAAAAAGCCCAGACTGCTAAAGTCTCTTGCAATATGTCTTGGACATAAAAACAACTCTACGAATGCAGTTGATTGAAATATTTGTTCAAAAATAAAAATACAGTTTGACAGATTTATACATGGCCACTACTATTTTTCTTTTTGTTTAAACAATTACAATAGATGCTTATGTCCCAGCACAGATGACTGACTGACTAATAGACAGAATACTCCCAGTATGTGTTAATGCATAGATTCTTATTCCATTGATCTCAACAGGAAGGACCAGGAAAAAAAAAAAAAACAAACCAGCTACGAACTCCCATCCTGATTGCTTTATTTCTTTCTCAAAGAGACAGCAAGCACAAATATATAACAGTGGTTTAAATGGTTGTCCCAAGAAGGGATTTTTATAAAGACAGTGAAAGAAGAATTCATATTTTATTTTAGATTAAGAGTAAACAGATTTATAATCCAAATTCCAAGACTGAAAATAGTGGAATAACTTGAAATCAGATTACAAATATTTTGTTGAACAATCACATAAGACTAATATGAAAGCTAAAAATTCCTGAACTGTTCAGATGGCTCTATGCAACTAGCCTATTGCAGTGCTTTGCATGAAGGAAACTGCAATGTGTCTTCTGCAATTACATACTGCTTTAAGAGCAAGTTAGGAGCAAATGGAATCACATCAACACAATATCCAAAGCTCTTGATAAAAGAAGTGAATTCCGGACCGCATAGGTAGACTGTAGTGAACAGGATAATTCAGTCTACCAATTTAATAGCTGATTAAATTCACCTGAAACTGATTCCAATGGGGATTGGATCAACTTCTTGATCTTTAGCTCTGCCGGTGGTATTACAAATGTTGATATGCACCCAGAAGGAAGAGAAAAAGCAGATTTTTCTCCCCTAGGTCAAAAAGTGCTAATAATATTGCATAACACCTGAATTAAAACCATAACAGAATCCTTTTGTCATGATGTACCACAATTTGAGCAATACAAAAGTTTAGTCAGCTACCAATTTCATAGCTGTAGTTCAACACATCACAAGGTTTTTAAGCTATGCTCCAGAGTCAAGATGTACAAAAGCCTCAACGTTTATGGCAAGCTGATCAAGTAATCAAGCATTTCCTACATATTTGAAAAAAAACAAACCCAAAACCAACTAGAAGCACTGTTATCCTAGTGTGAGAATTACTCATTAAATCCCCATGCTCTAATCCACTACTTTCTGTTTCATTTTATTTGCTTGGGAGATAAACGCAAATGGCCCCAAGTACAAAGATGTACCACAGGGCAAGGAGGAGAAAAAAAGAACAAAATCAGAAATCATGCAGATGCTTGATACAAAGTATGCTTCCAATATTCACCACATTCAATTGTTCAAGGAGACAGAATGCATGGCTCACTAACAATGTGCTTAAAATCAGCATATATTTTATACAGCACATAGAAAAAAATAGCTCAAAATTACGAAATTTTACCAATCATGGCTTGACATGGAAAAGATGATCAAAACAGCCATAAGTAACATACCACCTCATGGCAATAAGGTCTTAAAACCTTGGTTATAAAAGCTCACTTGCAGCCACCACAGAAGTTGTGTCTCTTCTGCTTTTAAATTGCTTGCACAAGAGGGAATTTGTCAAACTGTGTATCACTGCAGTCAAAATTCTCACAAGCTGTATTTTCAGATCATCAGTTGTACTGCCTCTTTCTACAAGCCAGCACTGGAACATGCATACCCTGACTGCTAAAGGCAAAGTCAGGTCAGAGGATTGGCTTTACATTATCAGGTGCAGTGAACAGCCTGAACAAATGTACTCTATTAGATGGAATGTAAAACTATTGCAGTTACCATGGTTACACATTCATATTACAATGAACAATAATAATAGTAAATTAAGCAAAAAACAGACAACATTAAAAAAATAAGCAGGAATGCTGATAGAATCAAAAGCAAAATGTAAAATCTTCATGTTTTCTAAGAAAACGTGTGAACTTGTAATTCTTTCTAACCTTGCTAGTGTAATTTTTCTTTGTTAGTATCTAAGGGAATAGAACATATGAACAACTATGTAAGACTTGTAACTTTCCGCACTGCTACTTACAGCAATAAGATTTAAGATCTCAGAGATAAAAACACAACAGTCTTTGCAAGTTGAGAACCCATTGTTTTCAAACGGTATCTGTAACCTTTTTTTAAGCACCTTGAAACAAAACATTTGGTACCAAGCATGTGATGGTTATATTATGCAATAGTTACAGCTCATTACAGAGAATATGGCCTATAAATCTTGAAAGTGAATTTGAAGATAAAGTCTAGAGATGGGAACATGGCATCTGAAATCCAGCACTTATCTACCACTTCTTTTTGGAAGGAAATGCATTTATTAAGAAGAGCTAGCTATCAACAATACTGTAACAAACCAGGAGAATTTCAAAGTGGATATAAGGAAACAGGAAATTCCCCACAAAGATAATCAAGCCTCTCTGCCACTGCAGGTGTTCAAGACTCAGCTCTACAAAGCCCTGAAGAACCAACTCTGAATTCAGTGTTGAGCTAGCTTTAAGGTTGCTGTAGTTGAATGCCTGAGGTCCCTCTCCAGCCTCCAAAATCAATGATTCTGTACAGGTCCACCTAGCTGGGCGGTCTGTCTGTAACAATGCCTAATACCTGGTATCAACAGGAATTTTATTGTAGTTCAGCATTTTTGCAGTCTTTTGTGGCCTTACCCACTCAGCAAGTTTTCCGGCTTCTCAGGTTTTCCAGTTTTTCAAAAATGCCACAACCCAATGCTATTGCCAGCACTGAACAACTTTCCTGATGTTAAAGTGTTAAACTTGTTAAGGTCAGGAAATCAGTGAATATTTAAAAGATGAGGAGAAGGTACTTTAGAAGGGATCCCAAGTTTACTGAAACACGTCTCCCCAGTTTCCAGACCAGACCATATGCAAAGGATTTGTATACAAACCCATACAAATGTGAACCAAAACAACTAAAAATTATGTTAGCAAGTGCCTGGACATTTAGGAGCCTGTTACTATGGAAGCTGTGTACATCGTCTGACCTATGCTGTGCAAAATCCACTGTTTATAAAAGGGAGTATGAACAACAACTGGAATATTCAATGCAGATCTTGCATTTATGCAATTAAAGGGTTTTTAAAAAATCACACTCACTTAATGAAATATTTCTCTCTTAAAAGCTCTCCCTCTGAGCTTTTTCTACAAAGATGCCAATCCCTGTTGAAAGTGCAGGTGTTCCCTACCAGACACATACACACAAAAGACAAATTAGTATAATTCTCCGTAAGATATAAAGGCTGCAAAAACTTATTTATAAAATGGATATAACTTTTGTATTTGTCATTACTCCTTAGGATATCCTTAGAAAGAAAAGTGAACCATTCCTGAAACCAGGACATCCATGTACTCCTCCAAAGACGAATGACCAAAGCTAAAGTCAGACTTTCCTCATCTAAAAGTAGTCCCATCTATATACACTGAAAAAGTACTGTAGCTGTGTCAGTAGTTAGTAAGAGGGTCACGCAGCCCTATCATATACAGATAAAACAACCTGTTTATACTGGTGAAGTTAATTAGTTCTCAATCCAGGTAAGGAGTACTACTTCAAGCCACAGATTGCAACAACAGATCAGTCCAAGGAACTATCTAGCATCTTGACACTGACAGCAGGCAAAAGCAGATTCACAGACAGTAAGAACAGCATCACACCAGTGTAATTTATCTAAACAGGGCATTTATAATGATGTAGTGGTGGTGAGCAACATGGAAAAGACATACTGAGAATCCAGCTTTACAGTCAAACACATCCTAAAAATGCCTAAAAATTCTGAACCACCAGAACTACACCACATGCAACTAGGAGTTGATTCAGCAAGCGTTTTCCAAAACTGGAAAGTTCAGGCCCCTTACTTAGTCTGAAACAGACAGGCACGTTTTTCAAAACCGACAGCTTCAGATCCCTTAGTCTGAAATAGACAGGAATGTGTTACTAAGTTACAGAGTACCTTTTCTCTCTAGAAAGGTTGCTTAAACCGATTTATATGAGCGCTAAATGGCAATCTTATGCCCCAGCAGCAGGCTGGGAAGCGGGCTCACTCTCCTGCCCCTTCTCACACAGGGCGGGGGGCTCAAGGCGGGAAACAGATCCTGCTTTGCCACATCCTCTTTCCCTTCCTCCCCCCCCCCCCCTCCCCCCAATCCCAGGAACCGTGGGGAGGAAAGAAAAGCCTGCGGGAGTAGCTGCGGGACTGCGGAAGGTAAACGACAGGCAGGGCCGCCGGGCTGACGGAGGGGTTGGCAGCAGCCAGGTCCCAAGTCCCGCTTCCCACCAACCTAGCACACAGTCCAGGGAGGGGAGCCCGCTGGAGAGCAGCAGCTGCCCGTGGCGAACGGAGGGCCGGGTGCCCGCCACAGCGGCCAAGCGGCTGCCGGCCGCGGCCTTCCGCTGGAAACTGGTGGCCCCGCAACACGGCGACGCCCCGCCAGCCGCTGCCGCCATCTCGGCTGCCCGTCGCTTGGCAGGAGAAAGGGGCCGCCGGGAAGAATCAAGCCTTTTCCAATCCACCAATGGGAGAGCCGCGTAGGAAACCCGCTGCCCAATGGGAGGCTGCGTTGTTTGCACGTCGCAGGGCTAAAGGGGCGGAGAAGGTTGTGGCCTCCGGTGGAGAATAGGTAGGTGAGTGTGGAGGGGTGGCCGCGTTTTCGGCGGAGGCCTGGAACAACGACCGGGCGTGAGGCGTGGGTCGGGTGGCGGCGTACCCTGCCCTGTAACGGAGGAGGTGTGGAGTAGTGCAGCGGCGGTGACCCGGCCGTGCTGCGGAGGGGAGCCTTCCTTTCTTCCTGGGGGTTGGGTTGCCGAAAGGTCAGTGAGCCCTGAGGGGGAGAGGCCTACCTAGCCTGTGCACCCCTCAGTGCCTTCGCCAGTCTCTGTGCCGCCTGATCAGCGTCCCCCTTTGGGAAAAAAACTTGTGTGCGAGTTTGGAAGGAAAAAGTGTTTGTAAAGCGTTTTCTAACAGTTTTCAGTTAACTGTATGTAATGTATGTGAGTGTGCTTGGAGTCTCGTTTGTACATAGCTGCAGGTCTGTAATAAATGTATGATCTAACACCCCCTCACTTGGAAGCAGTGGCTCTTGATCATGCCAAGAGCTATAGGAGAAGAAGTTACTTTAAACGAGAAATGTAGTTGTTGAATCAGTAACTAAACCCATTAAAAGTTATTTTGTTTGGTTGTTTTTTTTGTTTTTTGTTTTGGTCTTTTGAGGATTAGCCTGTCCTTTACTTTTTATTAGCCATTTATTGATAGTGGCCTGTGGCCTTGTACACTGCAGGAAACAACCACCCTAAAATGAGTGAGATATTTGAACTTGGTATTTCATTTTCTGTACTTACTATATACAAAGACATTAGAATGCTTTTTGTCTTAATGAAGAACTTTAGTATGCTTACTGTGTAAATCAACACTTTATAGTACTCTGAATTTAAGAGAAATCCCCATAAGCATATGGAATAGCCACTGTCACAGGTATTTGTGTGTTTTTAATCTGTTGGCATTTCAGATGCGTCCCAAGCTACTTAAAGGCATTTGCACATAGCAGGATGTACTAATGAGGCTGTAATGTAATTCTCCACTCTTAAGCTCCAATTTTAATGAATGATTTTGTTATTGCTCTAAGCCATTATTTTTGAGCACCTTTGGTTGTTGATCCTACCTTTTTTTTGGGGGTGGAGGAGAAGCGGGGGATCTTCATATTAAATATAAGCAGCAATAAAGAGCAACAATATGGTAACAATCCTGAACCTCAAAGGTTTTCCTCCATATAAAATTCAAAGTCAGGAGGGTGAACTTTAAGTATTATCTCTTCCTAGCGGGTGAAACTGCATTGAGTTTGCTGCTGGCCAAGCATCTTATATGTTAAACACTGGACATTTTAAATTTTTATCATGAGTATCAAGAGGTCGCTTTAATGTTTTATGTTTGCTGCAAAACTGTGAAATACTTAGGAATATTTAATTTCAAATGAAGATTATTGTTCAAATTTAGAAGTATTTGTCTTTAGAGGAAAAAAAATCAAAGGACACACTTAAAAACATGACAAGAAATAAATAAACCTATTGAATGTCACTTCTCTTTGGCCCTAGTAATGAATTGTGAATATCTGGATTAGAAAAGACTTTAACAAAATAAAAAGTGTAATTCACAATCCATTTAAGAGTTCAAGAATCTGTTATTGTCTGTGGGATCCTATGGTGAAGAAATTATGGTGTTTAATTGAGTGAGGGAGCTGAAACTCCAGAGTTCTTCACTTTTGAAACATCACATCAGCTCTTCCATTTCTTACTGCACTGAAGTGCAGATATCCAAATATTTCAGATGTGTGTAACACTATTAAAAAATTGCAGTATATTTATTATATTACTTTTTTTACAGAATACTTTTAGGCCCAATAAGGATATTTTTAATAAGTCACCACTTACCAGAAAAAGAATCACTGCATTTATCTCAGTGATTACTTTTCTCCCCATTCCAAGCAGTAAGCTTCCTTTTGTTACTTCAATGAGACAAAGTATTTCCTTGTGTGTTTTTTAAGTGAGATACACTAGTATAGGTTGCATTAAGTGCAGGAAACGTAAAGGAAAAAAAGAGGCTTCTAAAAGGTGGAAGCAAGGGACCAGGTTAGGAAAGCCAAGGCCCAGTTAGATTTAAACTTGGCTAGGGATGTGAAAGATAACAGGAAGGGATATTACTTACATTGCGAATAAAAGACAGACTAGGGACAACATGGGCCCTCTCTGGAAGCTATCAGGAGAACTGGCTACCCTGGATTTGCAGAAGGCTGAGTTCTTAATGACTTCTTTGCCTCATTCTTAACTGGCAAATGCTGTAACCACACCAGCCAAGTCTTGGAAAGCAGATGCAGGGACTCTGAGAATGAAGACCTTGGGCCCACTGTAGGAGAGGATCTGGTTCGAGACCGTCTTAAGAACGTGAATGTACACAAGTCTGTGGGACCTGGTAAAATCCGTCTGCGGGTCCTGAAGGAGCTGGCAAATGAAGTTGCTAAGCCACTGTCCATCGTATTTGAAAAATCATGGCAGTCAGGTGAAGTTCTCGATGACTGGAAAAAGGGAAATATAACCCCCATTTTCAAGAAGGGGTAAATGGATGACCCGGGGAACTACAGACCAGTCAGTCTCACCTCTGTGCCTGGCAAAATCTTGGAGCAGATTCTCCTGGAAGGCATGCTAAGGCACATGAAAAACAATGAGGTGCTCGGTGACAGCTGGCATGGCTTCACTAAGGGGAAATCGTGCATGGCCAATTTGGTGGCCTTCTGTGATGTGGCTACAGAACTGATAGACGGGAGTAGAACAGTTGATGTCATCTACCTGGACTTGTGCAAATCATTTGACACTGTCCCACATGACATCCTTGTCGCTAAATTGGAGAGACATCACTTTGATAGGTGGACCACTTGGTGGATGAAGACCTGGCTGGGTGGCCACATGCAAAGAGTTGTGGTCAATGGCTCAATGTCCAGCTGGAGACCAGCAACAAGTGCTTTCCCTTAGGGATTGGTGCTGGGACCGGTCTTGTTCAACATCTTTGTCGGTGACATGGACAGTGGGATTGAGTGTGCCCTCATCAAGTTTGCCGATGACACCAAGCTGTGTGGTTTGGTTGATACGCTGGAGGGAAGGAATGCCATCCAGAGGGACCTGGACACATTTGTGAGGTGGGCTGATGCCAACCTTATGAAGTTTAAGCATGCTAAGCACAGGGTCCTTCATCTGGGTCAAAGCAATCCCAGGCACAGCTACAGGTTGGGCAGAGAAGAGATTCAGAGCAGCCCTGTAGAGGAGGACCTGGGGGTGTTGATCGATGAGAAACCTAACATGAGCTGGCAGTGTGCTCTTAGAGCCCAGAAAACCGTATCCTGGGCTGCATCAAAAGGAGCGTGACCAGCAGGTTGAAGGAGGTGATCCTGCCCCTCTACTCTTCTCTTGTGAGAGCTCACTTGGAGTATTGTGTGCAGTTCTGGTGTCCTCAACATAAAAAGGACATGGAACTGTTGAAACAAGTCCAGAGGAGGGCCATGAGGATGATCAGGGGACCCGAGCACCTCCTGTATGAAGACAGGCTCAGAAAGTTGTGGCTGTTCAGCCTGGAGAAGAGAAGACTGTGTAGATCTCATGGCAGCCTTCCAGTATCTGAAGGGGGCCTATAAGGATGCTTGGGAGGGACTCTTCATTAGGGACCGTAATTATAGGACAAGGGGTAACAGGTTAAAACTTAAACAGGGGAAGGTTAGATTGGACGTAAGGAGGAAGTTCTTTAAGGGTGGTGAGGCACTGGAATAGGTTGCCCAAGGGACTTGTGAATACTCCATCCCTGGCGGTTTTCAGCGTCAGGTTGGACAGAGCCTTGGGTGACATGGTTTCATGTGAGGTGTCCCTGCCCATGGCAGGGGAGTTGGAACTAGATGATCTGAAGGTCCTTTTCAACCCTATCCTGTGATTCTATAATTTCACCTGCAATTCCTTTCAGATAAATAGAGAAGAAATTAGTTTTATAGAAACTTCTTTATTTTAAAATCAGCTGTGTTTAGTCTTTAGGAATAATAACCTTTTCGCTCTCTTTGAATGATACTAAAGGTTTGCTTATGTTCCCCAAAAGATGAATTTCTAGCCATTTTAGAAGATCCCACTAGGGGCTGTCTTATAGAAAGCAAGACTGCAGGAATTTGTAATTCTAGGTATTAGCATATAAAAGCCCCATCATCATATATAAGACATTACATTAGTAGGTAGATAAGTCGTATGATTTCTGCTGTAGGGGTGGAATTGAAATGTAGAGAAACTAAAGAATGGAGATGATTGCAGGTGATCAGGAAATGTCTTAGCAGCTTACTTATCAGGTGAGCTGTGGCAACTGTGGTCAAACTCAACTTGTAAGGGGGAGAAGTTTAAACCTTTGTCTAGATTGGGATGTTTTAAACTGTAGAATCATCAACTTTCCTTTCTTGCAGCTTGTGTATTATCATGTAGACCTGATCCAATTCTCACTACTTGTCTATGCCAAATGCAGATTCTAAGATGGATTAAGAGGATTTTTGGGTGAGAATTCCCTAAGGAAAAAAATGGAGGGAATACAATGGGTGAATGAGACAGCAATCAAAACATTTGGGAAAAGGTATGCTCGGAATTTGATCTGCAAGTATGTTTGTCATTTCACTGTAGCAAGCAGATTTGGTAAAAATCCTAGTGTCCCCAAAATAGCAGTGCTTTTTAAAGTGTGCTTTTTAGGTATTTTGTGCTTGGTAAGTGGAAACACCTGCCAGGGCTCTCATTAACTCTCTTTGCAACATGGGTTGCAGATGTAAATTTTTAGGACTTTCAGTTAATGCAAGCTGAAGCTCTGTTGTGTGAGCAGACAATGTTATTTTATTGTGCATGTTTTATTTTCCTTGAGTTCAAGTCAGTGATTTTCCTAGGTTTTAATTGTGCCTTCTAACATTCAGTGTGTGCTTTTGTCCTTCTGTGGCAATGAGCAAAATGCTATCCATTTTGGAATAAAACATTTCAGTGCATTTTGTTTCAAAACTGCATGCCTGCCTGATCATTTTTCAGTGATACATTGCTGTTGTGTTTATGTGTGGGATAGAGAGCTAGAAAACTGCATCTGAAGGGCAGTTCTAATTTCTAATCGTGTTAGCACTTGCTGTTACCTCACCAAGCTGCTGCCCTCATCAGTTCTGGAATGTGATGGTATTAGACTGTACTGATTAAAGTTTTATAGTCACCAAGTCAGATTAGCTGTAGAGTCACCTGACTAGGTGGGGCTTGCAGTCATGTGACCTAGTGCCCTGCTGAGCTCCCACAGGGAGCTGAAACAAGGTGGTTTGCTTTTGAGATGTTCTTAAGTATCTAACAGCATGGGTCATGGATTATGGCCACAAAGAAGATGGCTTCATTTTCCTGATCTTTGAACTAGCTAGAAAGGGATCACTTTGAAAGTGCAGGATCTTCAGGCCATGAGCCAACAAATGGAAAGAATGTTTAATCCTGGAAGTTCTGATACCAAAAGACCTGATTTGGTTTTGTTGGTTGTTTTTTTAGTGTGGGGTTTGTTTTTTGTTTTTTTTTTTTTTTTTAGTATGAGATAGCTTTAAGACTACTTATCTAATCAGTCATGGACAAAGCAAGGATTAGAGGGAGGGTCTAAGACATACCAGTTCTATGATATTATAAAAGACATGGTATGATATTTTTTTTTTCCTTCAGAAATCTGTTGGATATTAACCTAAATGCATCCCTGTGGATATGTTGAACAGCAGCAATAAAAATTTAATTCTGTGTCAAATTTAAACAGCTCTTTTAAAACAGAAAGTCTAAGTAGATATTAGGAGACATGAGTTAGTGGTATGTGTTGAAGACAATAAATTATAAAAAAGGTTATTTAATATTTCTGTAATTTTAGATTAGAAAAACGTATTGCAACTTGCAGAGCAGTAATATCGAAAAGTAGTTGTAAATTGAATGTACTGTCTTGTATCATACAGATTAGTGGCATATTTCATGGAGTGTTTTCCTTCTGTTTATCATTAAAGGTTTGTAAAAAAAAGTGCATTAATTTAAAAATACTCGCAAGATAGGACTAAAAGCAAAGGGGGGTGGGGGGGACCAACCAATCACAAAACCACCAACTAGAAAAGGAGTATTATTTGTATTGTGGCTTTTGATACTCTGTAATGTTTTCCATACTGGGTTCCTTTTTCAAGCTTACTTCAGGATTAAAAACTAGAAATTAAGGCAGATTGAATGTAGCCTTTTCAGATGCTTAACATCCAGAATTCTGCTTAATATTGAATCAAATGGCTGCCCTGAAAGAACAAAAGAGTTTATCACTTCAGCGTGGCAGTGGAAGAGGTGGAGAGTAAACTTTGTTTTTTCAGCTGGGAAAATGTAATTTAAATGCTTTGATATCTTGAGTCTTTGTTTTTGTCTTCCAGTTGTATCTGTTTGCATATATTTCATTAAACAGGCATTTCTAAAGCTAGGTAAATAATGTGGGTAATTAAGATTAATGGAAAAGTTAATAGCTGTGACTTTTAAAATTTTATTTATATAAGTGAAGTTAATGCAGAAGTACAAAGTAACATACTGTATGTGCTTTTAGAGCCTAAGATTCACTGAATATCTGTAAAAACATATGTATTATTTAGATTAATTTATAGTTTCTATAGCATTTTTTCCTAATATGCTGGTATTACAAAGGTTTGGAATTGGTACACTTTGGATTTTAGAAAAATACCACTTTCTGCTAAGTTGTGAGGGCTTTTAGTCTTCAAAGGCATTATTCCAAATAACCATATTATTTCTGTTACAAATCTATATTATCAGCAGGTGCTAGAATATAGGCAGTGCTTGCTCCTCACCTACATTGTGGGATTCTATAGAAGGTACTTAGAGAAGCACTATAGAAGGTGTCTTATCATTTCTGAAATATTGTGAGACCTGAAACCTGTGAAATGCATTTGCAAAGCACTTGAGGCCTGCCCATGGCCAGAAAAGATTTAACCAATCACTGTCAGAATTCTTTTGAAATTGTAGTTTGTCTCCTATTGCTGAAATATTTTTAAGTTTTCGTAATGGAGAATTGTCCCTCTCTTCTAATGTTGGCCAAAACATAACAGTAATGTGCCATCAAGAAACTTCTGCAGGAGCTTTTGAAATCACAAGGAAACAAAATCTGAGTCAGAAGTCAGAAGTCTTACGTGTACACAGCCCCACCTGTCTGACCTCCCCTCTTAAATAAAGGAAACGTTATTGTTAATTGTTGTCATGCTTATAGGTGACTTCAGACTACTGAAGTATAGAATCTATATTGCTGGCATTGTTTTTAAGCTTAGGTTTCAACAACAGGCTCTGATATCCATTGAAGTACAACAGGTGTGCTGGGTGAGATTCAGAAAGCTCCTGCTCTGGGGTAGAATGATGAACTGACAGGTGAAAATAAATCCCAAGACCTTTGATTGCAAGATTCCCAAAGATGGGAATCTTTGCTAACGCACTTATATGCAAGGATGTAACTTCTTGGTGAGATCCACAATCTTTTAACCTCAGTTTTCCAGTGTACTGGCCAATGATGCATGCTGATCATTGTGGCTTCCATAGATATTCCAGACAGGTAGTTTAATGCTAGCTGGAATATTCAGCCCCTGCCAGCAGGGAAGTAACTTCTGACAGTGTAGTATCCTCCAAGAAGCAGTTTTTCTCCCTTTATTGCCCTTTGGTCTTAGTGTTACGAGCTACTCAAACTTTAGTCTGATGACATGCAGGAGAGCAGTGGCTGAACTGAAATGTATATAGGTGTGTTACATGGAGCTAAATGTAGTGGCTTACATAGCACTGTGAATAGTGATGCAGTTACTGACCCAGCTGACGATGATGCAAGTTCTGTTTTCCCAATTAATGATGTTAGTCACTGGCTTTGCTAAGTGTACAGCGCTCAGGTTTCAACAGGAGCAAGATACTACAGAGTCATAGGAACATTCACATGTATTTGATGGACTTTCATCTAGTTTCACAGCATCCTGACCATCCATGGAGTGGGGGATGAAGCCAGATGTGCTGCTATAAATAATTTTGTAGAGTTGTGTAACTGTACATTTTCTCAGCACAGAGACAGAAGTCTTGCTTGCTTTTCAAAATGTATGATTGTTGTAAGAAGTTGTTTAGAATGGTAAACTAATTATGTCATTGAGAGTTAGATGAAAAAGAGCATTTGGGTCTCTAAGTAGTGAAGAATTAAAATTTAGACTATGTGATTTATACAGTTAGATAAAACACAAGCAAGCATTATAGTAAAAAACCTCACTCCAAAAATAATAAACCAGATCCACTAATGGCTAGTTAAGAAAATGTATAATGTTCCGAACTTGGCATAATATTGTGATTAAAGCAGAAAACACTGACTGTGTATCTGGCTTTTTTGTAGCCAGGCTGTATTTTAGCAAACTTTTGTTATTCTTCTCAATGGATTCAGCTTCTTGCATCTCCTGCACTGAGCCTACCAATTCCATACCAAAACTGCTGTGTTTGCTGAAATCCTTTTCAGGGGCATGTATTGAGGAGTAGGGCTACCCAAGCAAGTTAGCTCCCTTGTGCTTCAGTGTCTGAGAATCACCTTTGTGATTCTCAAGTTACTACCTACTCAAGTTATCTACCCGGTAATGCATTGAAGTTGTGTTAAGTTAGATATTGGTGCTGTGACAGTAGCTGGAAAAAGATTTATTTATTTTTTTTATTGTTGAAACCCTTTCACGATACGAATTCCATAAGAATGTGAGAAATACTTGGTAATAGACATATAAAAGTATCAGAAGAAGATGCTTGAGTTGCTACAGTATTTTTTCCCCCAGGTACTGTTTTGCATCTTGTATGAGATTACATGTGTAAGATGAATAAAAGAAAATTAATATTTAAAGTTGTAGAAACTGAAATAGATTGAGGAAACCGAAATATCAAAGTCACAGAAATAACAAGACTAACTGGTTACTGCGGAATAACTTGCAAGGAGCCTGCCCCATTTACAAAACAGTAAGGTTGTAGTTGCTAGTGTGACTGTGAGCCTTGCTAATTATTTCAAGGTGTTATCTTGGTTTTGTATAAAATGTATATGTGTTATTTCATTGCAGTTGGGGTCTTATTCTAGGAAAGTAATTTGTATGAAGTTTGTCTTTCAATACTTACATATGCTTGATTCCAGTATCTCTTCAATTTCCTTTTTTTTTGTTATTTCTGTGAATTAAGAGCTGTGTCCCTAGCAAAGGAAGAAATGTAACTGAGCTGCTTTTAAATAATTTTTTATGTTTATCAGAAAACTATTGCACTCTTGGAGCTGCATGTTTCTACTGTCTGTGTATCAACGTGCTTCCATTGGTCCAAAAAGTGTGAAACAGTGTTTGGTTTTGATATTTTCATGCTACTTCCAAGCCACAGTGATTTTTTTTTAAATAGACTTTTTAACATTTCTGGCATAAAAGACCTGAAATTGAAAGACATGAAATTGTGGGAAGATCATCAGTCTGTGAAAGGGAGCTGTATGACCAGACACTGTTTTTCCCTTTCAAAAGGCAGTATATTATGGAAGAAAGGGGTAGGCAAATTGTGTGTATTTGGAAAGAGCCA